AAAAAAAAAAAAAAAAACCCTCAGGATATTCCGGTTACTGATTATGGGCCACACAATGCGCATAAGGGTCCATCCCTTTAAGAGAATCCTAGGAAAACTTAATCAAGATAGTCAGGTATTAAAGTCCAAAAGGATTTAAGGGAAAATTAAAAGTTAACTTTTAATTTAATTTAAACAAGCAAAAAAAAAAAAAAAAAAAAAAAAACTTAAAGAAAGCTTGATCTGTCATTTGGGTGAAGACCTATTTAAAAGTATGGTCTATTTTAGAATTGCGGCTTAAAAATATATACATATAATAACCAGTTGGTACATTTTGTTTCTTCAGGATTAGAAGCTATTAGTATTGAAACGGGAACTACCCGGATGTATCGTTTGAATGCATAATGTTGTATATTGTCACGAAGTGCCACTCTGCCCGGTAATTGAAGTGGTTAGGGTAATTTAAGCTTGGTGGCAACATAACCAGAATTTGAAAAGTATCACTACTACCATTATCTGGATACCATATTAAGAGTCGATCTTAAGATTGAAAGTGAAACCGGAAACGTGCTGAGCTGAAGAGAAAGTGGAATTTAAAATATATATTTGGATTAGTAACATAATTCAATAATCTCCATTTATAACTAAATTACTTAAGATATCGACACTACAATGTATTTATTTTATATTTTATCTCTAGATATTTTTTGGCGCTCTCTATGCGTTCAAATGAATTTGGCAAAGAACCAGCTTTCATCAGAGTTACATGTTGGATATTATCGTCAATGTGCTTAGACGTTATTTTGATCTCTAAATACTACAAACAGATGTTTTTTTATTTTAATTTTTTTTTTGGGTCGTACAAGAAAGGAAAGGTTATCACTTACTTACAAAAGAACTAAATTGAAAAAAAAAGAAAAAAATAGTAAAAATTCACTGCTAGATTTTAGATGCGATTCTCATCCAAACAACCCGCTTTAATGGTAACATAATGCGTTGGCGCGCGATTCCTTTATGCTGAAGGGCCAATTTGTTCAAACTAAGCCTTTCTATTTCTTTAATAATTTTCTGTATTTGGAAAGTTATATAAAAAAAAAACCTTCAATCCCGTGAGCTTTAATTTTTTTTTTTTTTTCTTTTTAAAAAGAAAAAAAAAATTATTTTCTACAGCTTTTAATTTACCTGAAAACAATAATCACACTAAGATATCTAAGTATTACAGACTTATACCAAAAAAAAGAACAATTGAAACGCCTTTAATACCTTGTTATTTCACAACTATATATCATTTAAACAATTTCTCGTGGATATCCTACTAACTATTTTTTCACATATGAAGCATAATTAAATTTGTTTTTTATTTTATTTTCTTTTTTAATTTATTTGATATTAAGTTCAAAAAATTCTTGACTCACTAGCCACCCCTTGCACAGCCTTATTATCACCATGACTCTTGACCATCATACCGATACCACCTTCAAATGTATCTTGACTAATTTGTTTTCTTTCCCACCTTGAATTCTTATGATTTTTCTTTGTTGGTAGATTCAGAGACAATCAATAAATATATTGGAGTTATAGGTATATTAATCTAGATTATAACGGAGGCGGACCTTGACTAGAAAATATAGATATAATAATAATATGACCTGAGGGAATAGGTTGGCGCAGAAGATAAGAATTTCTGTATTTCCTTTTGGTGTCACAATTTTTATGAATCAGCATTGAGTTTTATGGAGTCATTGGATGAGATAAATATTCTTTTTATAAAAAAAATAGATGAATAGTAATAAGAAACTCTCCAAATGGAGTGAAATAACATTCTCTATAAATAAAATTTTATTTATTTGCTAATAACTTTTCGGAGCCCTAACGGTACTGTGTACCGGAAGGTTAGGGTACCGGTCTCCGAATGAGACGATAGTAGAACATTCGGGTGTGTGACTGCACCGAGCTATGCTATAGGGTGAGCAAGTTCAAACCTATAACCCGATGTTATAGTGATCTACTTTTCTCGAGGCATGTTACATCTCAATACTCTTTAGTTTACGTTGTGAGCGTACGTTCATTTTTTTATTTTATGTTGAGCTACGTTACTGCATCGAAGGTTTTTTTTTTAAAAGACGAAGGCAAAGCAGTTATATTATTATTATTATTTATTATTATTTATTATTATTATTATTTATTATTATTATTATTATTATCATCAGTCCGGAACAACCGGCTCAATTGATTTTCTTGGCAATAGTAAATTTTTTTAAAAGTACTATTACAATTCAATATATACTACAGCTACAACAACTACTACTACATATATTTGGTTACTTGTTTCCATTAATTGAGAATTGTCAAGAAAAAATATATATATATTTATTATATATTTCAAAAATTTTATATTTAGTAAATTGTTGTAGTTCCTAGACTAAGTTTCTAATAAATTTTTTTTTGAAAAATGCCAACAAAAAAAAAAAAATTAAAGAAAATATTCAAGTTTATATAGATTTAGTTACCATGTACCTTAAGTGAAAGCCTTATTTTCTAAAGGAAAATCGTCTATGAGACTTAAATGACTTGGAATTATTAGAACTTTGAAGGTCTATTTTATTCTCTTTTTTTTTTTTTTTTTCAGCCTTCTAAATGCGACAACAACGACATAAGCATATAATTGTCGTATTCTATTTTAACAAAACATAAAAAATAAACGTAGATAAAATAAAAGGGTCTCTTTGCAGGTTGAGCTTTTTTAAAAATAAAAAACAAAAATTTGATTGATTGAGAAAAAAATAATAATAATAATGGTATGTCCCGGGTTCCGTGCCAGTATCTTCTCACTCACCCACTCACTCACTCACTCACTCACTCACTCACTCACTCAAATAGTCCAAAGAGAAAAGGTACTTTAACCGAATGGTCTTAATTTAGATGTAACAATTATGACATCAACAACTTTTAATGATAACAAGCAGTAATACCTGACGAGATGAGCTGACCAACATCTTTTTTTTTTTTTTTTATTTTTTTATTTTAAGCATAAAAATGCTAGCTTGAGTATATAGAGCATGGTATTATCCTGACCAAAACTTCCCAAATATCCAAAGAAAGAAAGAAAGAAAATATCAATACGCCAAATTAGTTGCGTGATGTTTTTTTCCCCCCAAAACAGTCTTGTGGGGTATCTATTTTGTTTTGACTATTTTGACGATTTTATTTTTTATTTTTTATTTTTTTTGAGGTCTTTGAAAAAAAAAAAAAAAAAAAAAAAAAAAAAAAAAAAAAAAACAGAAACTCAAGCCAAGAACGTCGTGCCCCTATAAACCTTTGTTCATTCAACGTCAACCTCCCTGCATACCTTTTCACTTCATCACCACCTAAGACTGTTTCTATCTCAAATAGCTACTTTAGGAAAATTTCGATACAACTCGCATATAAACAAAATAATTTTTTTCTTTTTTTACTCTCTTTATCTTCGGCATCATCATTAACAAAAGTAATAGATACCCTCAGGCTTAGAACTTCTTCTTCTTATTCATCTTATTCTTCTTCTTGGTTTTTAAATAAGACAAGATAGCTTCTGGGATTTGACGATTGATATAGTGTATATATCACTATTAAAGACATGCGCCTTTAAAATAAAAACCCGTTCTGAAAGACAAAAAAAAAAAAAGGTCTTTAATTTCTAGACTGATTGAATATTCTCAAGTTAAAGATACTCACACCATTTCTTTCTTCTAGTCTGCTCTCCCCCTTAGCACTTTACACCCCTTATTTCTTAAAATACCCAAATGATACTATTACAGATGAAAAGACGAAGAACAAAAAAAAAAGCTACATGATCTATGATGCGCATTACAAGATGATGATGATGATGATGATGATGATGTTCTATATATGTCTAATATTCAGGTCCACTGTACTTTCGGCTCCTATAAAGGGTACTGATTGGGAAAAACAAAAAACCTATGTAAATAATGGGTCTAAGGGGTTTTCGAATCAGTCAATCTTTTTTTTTTTTTTTGCCATAAGGTGGGGTTCAAAGAGAAGAGACTGATGACCCTTTTTTTTTTTCTTTAGAAAAAACCCAACAGACTGGCAACCTCATCGGGGGATCAAATATGACACATGAGAATATATACCTCTTAATATTGAAATCAGATGTACAATTCGAAACGTAAGAGAATCAAAAAAAAAAAAATATGAAATTTAGAAAGGGAAACAGTCATTTTTAAGAAATTCTAAAAAAAGCAAAGGGTAGCCAAAGAAGGTTACTTTTAAAGTGAAGCGAAGAATCACAATTTTAATATTATTTTTATTTTTATTTTTATTTTTATTTTTATTTTCATTTTCATTTTCATTTTCATTTTCATTTTTAATTTAAAAAATTAACTGATCAGTATTCTTCATAAAGAATAATCATGCACTGCATCAACAAAGAAAGTGGGTCAGAAGTAATTCCTAATTCCTAATTCCTAAGATAAAACGCAATATATTGCGTTTTATCCTATATATGATATATAATATTTCCTGATTTTAACTTAATATTTAACTATGTTGTTTTGTCAGAAAAGGTGTTTTGCATCACAGCCTCATGACAGCGCATTTTACTTTTTTTTTTTTTTTTTGACGCTTTTTGTTCCCCAGATTGGAGGTTTAATTGAATTCACCTAAAACCCTATATCACCAATAATTACTACCATGTGTTACAGATAATTGTTACAAAAATATGTTACACTAAAATATATGTGCTTACGTAATATTTTGTTTTTTAGAATTTTTCATTTGGAATCTTCTGGTTCCAAGTTTTTTTTTTTATCTTTTTTTTGATATTCATTTATAAAAACCGGGTAACTTTTTTTTCACTGACGTAAACGTTCCATCGTATTACTGTGGCCACTTTTATGTTTTCTGTTTTTTTTTTTTTTTTTTTAGTTACCTTTTCCTTTTCATTTTCCACTGCCCCTTTTCCCATAATATATCATTCCTTGATACCCCCATAGATTACAATCTATCGCCACCCTATTAAAATGAAACTTTTAGGAAGCGTTTCTAGTTTATTTTTGTTTGCCTGTGTGGCAATTGCATCCAATGTGATTGAGCTTACTGACAAGAACTTTAACTCGGTTGTTATTGATTCCAAGATCCCCACCATTGTGGACATTTATGCCAGTTGGTGTGGCCACTGCAAACGCTTGAATCCAATTTACGAGGAGCTTGCTGATGCGTTTTCGCATGCTAAAGATAAGGTCCAGATTGTTAAGATTGATGGTGATGTGCACCGCAAGACTGCTAAGAAGTTCAAGGTTGAAGGATTCCCCACAATCAAGTTTATCAATGCTGACGGATCTGAGG